AAAAAAAAAAAAAAGGCATATTTGAAAAAGAATCAACATAGAAATTTTTTAAAAATTGAAATTAAAACCGCAATGGCTAAATGAAGCAGATTAGATAGCAGGAGAAGGAATTAGTAAACTGGAATATAACGTGGAATCTTACACAGTGTTTCATGTGGGCCACGCGATGCTTGAGAAGCTTCGTTTAATCTTCACAGCAGGCATGGGCAGGTGGATAGTATTTTCTCCCCACATAACAAGCATGGAAACAGGTACCGAGAGACTATGGCTCCTTGTCCAGGTAATCCCAAATCTGTGCACCCAACCACTATGCCATATTGTACCTCAGGAACTGACCCAGAACGCAGCACAGAAGATAAAGAGATGGAAAAGAAGAGGGGCTAAGAGACCTGGGGGGATGGGATGAGAAGGTCCAATGAATCCAATAGGAGTTCCAGGAGTGAGAAAAGAAAACAGCAGAGGCAAACAGGATAGCTGAGAATTTGTCATGGTTGAGAAAGACGAATCCTAGGATTCAAGACGCAGGAGTCCCAAGTAACGTGAATACAAATGGATTCACAGTTGAACACATAGTCGTTAAGACCGTAGAATACCAAGAAACAGAGCAGACATCTTTAAAGCCGCGAGGGGAATTTATTTGTAGAACCGGGAGGCTGGGAAAGAGACCTGTAGAGTGGGAGAGGAGAGATCTGGGGCTGGCGGTGCGCACAGTAGTGTGGGTGCAGGGAGAGCGCTGGGTGAGGGTCTGGGCTGGGCTGTTTGGGGCGAAGACCACTAGCAGGATTGTATTCAATCCTAGTTTTCCATTAGCGCACTCCATTGTCCCAAGGTTGCAGCGAGCTTAGGTATGCTGTCTCGAGTACACGCTCTTTCAAGTAAGTACAGGGTGAATCCTGGGAACTGTTTGGTGCATGAATGAATGAAAGCGAGGCGTTTTGAGGAAAGTGAGGCCAATCTGGTGCCTACACTTGGGCTACTGAACTGATGTATTTATAGAAGGCCTTACAGCGATATACTTACGAAAGGCTATTCATGGTGTCTATAGTTGTGTCTATAACTGTGATTGCATTTTCTAAGATTTGAGAGCAAGTGTAATAAACACAGAACAATCTCTCACGTTCTGTCTAGAGGTTTTCTAGGCTGATTATTAATATTAATGAAAGTTTCGATCGTAATAAAGCCCAGAGGAAAGTTTCAGCAGCTTCTGTGGTCTGTGTCGTCTTGTTTGTTGGAGATGTGTTGCAGCCACAACTGTACATGATAGAATGCAATCTTTGCCTCCCAATAGAATTTGCTAACATAGAAGACACCAATTAGAATGATCTCATTCTCACCTTATCACATGTGCCAATGTTGCAAAACACTGAAAAAGAAAGGCATACTATTTTCCTTCTCTTATCCTCTAAGGTGGGCAGTGTAGGGTTTTTATCAGACCTTTCCACTCAACCCACCCGGTCTACACAGTGAGGCCACCCGGAGGAAGTGCTGTCCCCAAACAAAGTCCCGTTCTCTTTCTGTTGTGATTAGATCACGAGTACAGGGAAGAAGTGTGAGGGAGGAAAATGTAAAGAATTCTATTCTTATGGACTAACATTTTAATGTTAGAAGGCTATATGCAGCCCGCTGAGAGCCTGGATTAGAAAAATGGCCTACATGTAGAACAAACACTTTGATAAATGTTGTCCCAGTTAATTCTTACTTGTAAGTCTTCATTAACATTTGTTTTATATATTTGAGAGAGAGAGAGAGAGAGAGAGAGAGAGAGAATGAATCCCAAGCAGGCTCCACACTGTCGGTGCAGAGCCCGATGTAGGGCTCGAACTCATGAACCGTGAAATCATGACCTGAGCCGAAGTCAGACACGTAACTGACTGAGCCACCCAGGTGCCCCGCATTAATATTTTTACACACGGGGAAACTGAAGCCAAGGGTTATACGGAACAGACTGAATATACAAATGGGTAAATAAAAACTGAACTCTGATTCACAACCCACAGCAGTTAAGTGCAGAAAAGCAACCCATTTTATCCAGAAAGCCCAGAAAGCCAGTCTTGCTGTTAAGTCAGACTTGTAGGAGGTCAGACCGCTATTTCTAGTTAACAATCCAGGAAGCCAAGCAATAATGCCTACATCAACCCCGGATCACTAAGATTTGATTAATAGCTGACAGCCTCCAAAATTTCTGTCCCCACTTCCAACTTAGGGCCAACCCGAGAACGCCAAATATGCATCCCTAACCAATGATCTAGTTAATCCATCCAACAGCTTCCCTAGGTCATCAGGCTCCAATCACTTGAAGCCCTCCTTTCTTTTCCATGATAAAGCTTTGCACCCCCCTCTGCTGCCTTTCAGTCTCTCTCGGCCAAAAGGCAAGTGATGGTGGTCGACTCCCCTCCTATAGCAAGCTTGAACAGATTCTGCTGGTTTGGTCGGGCTTCACTTATTTCCAAAATAACTCCGCTATCGTGGCAGATCAGGGTCTGGAACTGAGATCTACCTGACTCCAAACCCAGCCTCTTTCCACCGTACCACTTGCTCTTTTGTGGAGGCTGAGCCTCAAATGCCTTCAATAGCCTGGCAGGCAGGACACCAATAAGGGGCAGGGCTCTGTGATTTGGCATAGTTTATTTTTACACTTAGTATGCATATAAAACCATGTAAACTCCACAAAGTAAACGGTTTATCCCCTAAAATAACCGAAAAGTCTGCCGTGAACTTCCAGCACCCTCACTATTTTAATGTTTATACTTTCACAGAGAGTCATAGTCATACAAATAGGATTATAATACGTTTTTTAGGTCAAGGATTTTTTTGGTCCACATTTTGTTAAGCACACACTTTCCTCTTTGGCAAAAGAGGTCAACTCCCCCCCCTGCCCCAGGGAACCCAAAGCAAACAGACAAAAAGCACTGAACATGAGGTACAGCTGAGGTCCGGACTAATCTGGAATTAGAGACACACACTCAAGGGAAACACGGTTTCTTACAAAATCAGTTCACTTCCCAACCACCTCAGTAGAAAAGCTCGACGCGGATTTTGCCTTTGTCACTTTTGTAAGAACACACTTTAAATAACTTTGTGCTTCAGAGTACAATGTGCTATTTCTAAAGAAAGTCATGAAAAGTGTGGGCATCTGACCTCAGCCGTATTTTCAATCTGAGGTACAAAAGCATCTGTCACAGCAATTCAGACTACAATCGCTGTGCTGCCTTCGTTCAGTTTGCGGGGAGAGCAGTTTTGGTTGCTGGTAAATCTCAGCACTTGGCTTTGCAGAGTTTCAAGAGGTGGATTTGCACGTGAAAGCTGCACAGTAACTGCTAGGCCTGAGGTGAGGAAGAGGCAAAGTGGGACCTGGCCTTTGTCCCACTTGGGCAGGGAGGCCCCCTGGGGGCCACAGAGACCTCCTGCTCCCAGCGCCCCCTACTGGCCTCCACAAGTCCCATCTGAAGTGGAGTCTAAGGAACAGGCAGCTGCTGAGGTGGCTGTGTTGTGTTCCGTTTTAATCTACAATCCTAATTGCTAACCACCACCCTGGTGCGCTTCTCATGCTTCAAGTAATTTCATTCCTTCCGGAAGAATGTTAGCAATGCTTTTAGTTCTAGTTACCAAAGGAGAGGAGATGAGCCACAATAACAAGATTAAGTTTAAACAGACCTGCTGCTAACACAGTATCGGATAAAATATACTTAAAAAGTGAACATACTATTATATACGATTTCGCAACAGCTGCATTCTCCCACTTAACCACTGTGCAGAACTAAAACTCTGATAAAGCGAACTTAAGTTACTTTAATTCATGTTAAATACAACTCTGTACAGATTGCACATTTTATACCAAAGCAGCTCAATATCACAGAGAAATGAAAATGCTATCTGGAAATTTTCATCTTTCTAGCCCAACAAAAACCAACAGACCCCTGCCCTAAGGGTCAGAACAACACCAGATGCACCACTTTGTAAACAGTAGGAGAGGTGGTCCCTCGGACTCCACCGCAGGATCCTATGAAATCACACACACACACACACACACGCTCACACACGCGCACTTGAACATCTCCCCTCTTCCAGGGCCGCACACAGCCCGCCGCTCGGTACCGCAGCAGGTTGCTTTCACAGTGTGCTCACAAAAGAGCGGTCATGGCCGTGGGGCTGAGGGGTCGGAGGCAGTCTCTGGGGGCCGCGTAGGAGGCGCTGGCGGCTGGCTTTGCCCGCGGCTCCTGGTAGTCGGGGTGGGTGCGGTCCGCGGCCTGGCCGCCGGCCGTGGGCCGATCGTAGCCCGGGCGTGCGGCTGCGGGCGCGGGGTGAGGCGGCCTCTGGTAGGGCGCGCCGCCGGAAGACAGTGAGTGCGTGTGCGCCGGCCGGGGCCCCGGCACCCTGTAGCCGGAGAAGGTGTGCGCGCGCGCCGCGTGCCGCTCTACGATGGGCGTGGCGTACTCGGGCTCGGGGTTGGTCAAGGGCAGGGCGTACTCGTGGCGGCCGGCCAGCAGGGGGCGGTCGTAGTGGCCGCAGACTTCGGCGCTAGGCGGGGTCTCCTCCTCGGTGTCCATCGGACGGAAGGTGGAGCCCTTCCTCGCCACCGTCCCGGTGCCAATCATGAGCGGAGGCTGGTAATCTGCAATCGAAAGCGCAAGAGACACATCGTGTGTGTGTCACACGGATGCGAGGGCAAGCCGGTTGTTTGCAGAGGGAGGTGCTCTGCGGAACCAACTCGGCTGAGCGCCTAACCGGTAGCAGGCAGGATGAGAAAGCCCGAGAATGGGAAAGGCGTATATGGCACACACACGGACTTGTGCAACCATACTGCTGCTTTAGGAAGCCTCGGTGGGTCACTAGAACCCGGAGAAGACAGAGATTACGCTTCCCCACACCTAGGGAATGAGAGGGGAAATACCTCCTGGAGCTCTTAAACTGGCCCTTGAAATGCCAAATTTTGGAGGGGGGGGGGGTTGATTGCTGTGAGAAAAGGCAACAGTGATTAAATAACCTGGAAAGAGGGGCGCCTGGGTGGCTCAGTGGGTGTAGCTTCACTCTTGATTTCTGCTCTGGTCATGATCTCATCTTTGGAGAGATAGAGCCCACCAGTGGGGTTCTGCGTGGACAGCCCTGGGCCTGCTTGTGATTCTCTCTCCCTCTTTCTGTCCCTCCCCAGTCCACCCAATAAACTTAAAAAAGCCCCCCCCCCCAATAAACTTAAAAAAAAAAGTAAAGATTGAAAAATGAGAAACAAACAAAATCAAGCAGTCACACACTAGGGGTCTGGCAGCAGCCTTGGAAAGGTCACACTTTGGAGACAGGAATCAGAGAAAGTTATTACCAACGATGTCAGTCATGAGGCAAAAGGGGAACCAAGGCCCCTTCCCGGATGTTAAGCCCAGAAGCCTGGGATTCACAGTCCGGAAGCCACTTGGGAGAGGAAACATATGGAGCATTCTTGGGGAGGGTTAGGAACAACAGGTTCAATTTTGGACACACTGAGGAACTGGTGACACTGACAGGCAGAGGTGTCCAGCAGGTGAGAATTACTTCTCGGGGACAGGGAGGGAAGTCTGGGCTTAGTAGACAAAAGTGCAAGGAAGGGCTCTCTATTGGGAGCTCTGGAGCAGGGTGGGTGCAGCTACTGAGGAGAGAGACTGTGGCTGAGTGAGGGCAAGAGCGAGACCCTAGGGGGGCCTTACACAGTCAAGGTGTTGGAGAAGGACCACACAGTGGGGAAGGAGGGCATGCTGCACCAGAAGCTAAAGAAAAAAGAAAGGAAGAAAAGGAGAGACATGGGGGCCTTTTCTCCCCTGTTTTGTCTGCAAGGCAGCACTAGACTGTCAGCAGGAAAGGAATTAAGAGGATGGATTTTGGGTGGAGAGATGCTCTTTGTTCTGCAGCAGCTCAAGCAACCTTTCCACTGGTAGCTTTCTGACTTTGATATATTCATGAACTTCTGGGTCAGTAGGCCTGGGGCATGGCCTGAAAGCCCACACTTCTAGCAAGTTCCCTGATGCTTCTGGTCCTCAGAATGCACTCTGGGTCACGAGAAGCTAAGTAGGGCGACCCAGAGTGTGGTCTGCAGATGCCTATGTATCTGAGAACCGAGACAGGTCTGCAAAAAGACAATTACACAAATTGAGAGCAAGTGTTTAGCAACTCCCAGCAGCTTGAGAGAGTATACTTATGTCCGTTGAATCTAATAAAAGAATTAGAGCTTTGTATTTTGTATGTCTTTTTTAAAATGTCATTACTGGGGCGCCTGGGTGGCTCAGTCGGTTAAGCGTCCGACTTCAGCTCAGGTCACGATCTCGTGGTCCGTGAGTTCGAGCCCCGCATCAGGCTCTGGGCTGATGGCTCAGAGCCTGGAGCCTGCTTCCGATTCTGTGTCTCCCTCGCTCTGCCCCTCCCCCATTCATGCTCTGTTTCTGTCTCAAAAAATAAATAAACGTTAAAAAAAAAATTTTTTTTTAAATAAAAATAAAAAATAAAATGTCATTCATTACTTCTACTTTATACAACTGACCCTTAAACAAAGGGGTGGAACGGTGTGTGTCCACTTATAGGTGAGTTTTTTTCAATATAGTATATAGTACTGGAAACATATTTTTCTCTTTCCTGTGATTTTCTTTTTTCTTTATTTATGTTGAGAGAGAGTGAAAGAGAGCATGTGCACGTATGCATGCAGGCAGGGGAGGGGCAGAAAGAGAGAGGGAGATAGAGAATCCCAAGCAGGCTCCGTGCTGTCAGCACAGAGCCCAACTCATGGCTGGATCCCATGAATCGGGAGATCATGACCTGAGCTGAAATCAAGAGTCAGACACTCAACTGACTGAGCCACCCAAGTGGCCCTCTTCCTTAGGAATTTCTTAGTAACATTTTCTCTAACTTACTTTATTGTAAGAATGCAATATATAATGCAAATCACATGCAAAATGTGTGTCAACCCACTGTTTATGTTACTGGTAAGGGTGGAGGCAACAGTAGGTTGTTTTGGTCAGCAACAGGCTGTTAGTAGTTAAGCTTTGAGGGAGTCAAGTTATACATGGATTTTTGTGCAGGGGGTGGGCATCCTTAAACCCCTTGTTGTTCAAGGGTCAACTGCATTGTATTTTACAAAAGCAGTGGTTTCTGACAGATTAGAAATAATAATTTTTTCAAAGGCAAAAAATGGATCCCTCTCCACAGTTTGAGAAGCCTGACCCTCAGCGATGGCTTATCAGGAACACAGAGGTCATTCGAACACTGGACAGGTTCTTTCATCTCCTGTCTCCTCTTTTCTCAAGGGCAGGAACTGGGCTTAATTCATCTTTCCAGTCTCCCTTCCTTAGTGCCTTAACCAAAATCTTAGCAACAGATTATTTAAGGGCTTCCAGATTTTCATGGTCCCTCAGGGCCATTGCTATAGCTATGCTGTAGCTCTCTCAGTGTTCATTTGTAACACTTTGCAGAGGAAAGAGAGGACCGTACACATTGCTGATTCCTTGGGCCCCATCTCCACACCAGGTTTTAGTCATATTTCCCTCCTGGTCTCCTCACTCCCATGGGCAGCACTTGCTGCCTCACAACACCCTCACAGAGGCCTGACACGTACCTGCCATATCACTTGTGATGAGATCTAACTTTTGTGTCACCTCCTTTTCATTATCATAGCTGATGGTAAACTCAGCCGACTGGTGTCTGGCAAAGGGATACTTGATCTGCTTCCAACAGTCTGGAATAAAGATAACACGAAACCAACATGTATTATCTCAGAAGGGTAACGCACATAGTCTCTGAAGTGTTCCTCGATGGGCTGGACGTCAGGCCGCCTTTTGCCGGCTGACCGTGATGAGTGCGTGGCATGGCTCCCAGATTATGTGTAGGGAAACAGCATGCTGAGGTTGTTAGGACAACAGCAAACACTGTTCCATCCGTGTTTTCCACTTGTATCTGGGTTGCCACCAGGGCAGGTCCCAGATTATGCCTCTGTTACACCACCTGGGCATGGTTTTCCGTAATCTACACAGATATAGCACTCATGTCTCAGAGGAGTCAACACAGCTGGCTGCTGAGACCCTGTGCAGGTGGGGTCCCAAGCTGCCCCTGAGATTCTGAGGGGTCCTGCCCTGCTGCCCTCTCTGGACTACAGCTGACTCATTGCTTGGGGTACCCTGTGTCCTGAGGATTCTCTGAAACCTGAACGTGAACCCTGCCCGGTTCTTCCTTCACTCTCCCAGAGTGGAAAATACAGTGGAAGCCTGGAGATGCAGAGCAGTACCGGACAAAGTTCAGTTCACAGATGCGGCTTTTATAACTGCTCCCGGATGACAAGCAGTGTGGTGGCTTAAACTCCGGTGGCCAAAAAAAAAAAAAAAAAAAAAAAAAAAAAAAAAAAAAAGAATGTTGTGATGGGATAATACTGAACAAAAGTAAAGGTCACTGGCCATGAGAACTCTCCATTAAAATAGATAGGCCACAATATTCCATTCCTTTTAGACTTGCTAACTTAAAGGCTGCATATCTTCATTTTTTGACGATGTAAGTGTGAGCCACATAATTTTAATCAGCAGACCCTGTCCCTTCTCAAAGACAGAATAAAACTGTGGAGTTTTCTGTCAACCAACCTGTTTTCTGGGCCTGAGCTGATCCATATGGATTTCCTTTCTTCTTCCTCCTACAGAAACAAAAAAATCCTACTTGAAAAGGTTTCTAAGTGAGGAGTACTGTTTATAAAATAATACTTGATACTTTCTACCTCTACACAACTTGTTTTTAACACATAAATTAGCATTTTATCTTGGCCGAAGTAATGCTGCTTTTCTATGCATGAGCATCTGAAAAGCAAACATTTTGGTTTTGTAATTAGTTGCAGGATTAGAGGAGAAATTTAAAAATGTCAAGTCACATACTTTCTAAGGGCGGCAAAGATTCCCATTCCAGCAACCAGCAGAGCCAGGAGCACCAGTGGAATAACAACAGTTGTGACATTTATTCCTGAGAAGGGGGAAAAGCCACACATTACAACAGAAAGGAAGTGCAACCGAATTGCTCAATCTAAAACTGAACACTGATTTGAAAGGTCTTCCACAGTTTAATACACGGGGAAAATGAATATGTGCTAGGCATTTACTGATGTCAGACAGCAAAAAGAGAGGATTTCCAAATCCTGGCTAAAGGGGCGCCTGGGTGGCTCAGTCGGTTAAGCATCTACTCTTTTTTTTTTTTTTTTTTAATTTTTTTTTTTTTTTCAGTTTTTATTTATTTTTGGGACAGAGAGAGACAGAGCATGAACGGGGGAGGGGCAGAGAGAGAGGGAGACACAGAATCGGAAACAGGCTCCAGGCTCTGAGCCATCAGCCCAGAGCCTGACGCGGGGCTCGAACTCACGGACCGCGAGATCGTGACCTGGCTGAAGTCGGACGCTTAACCGACTGCGCCACCCAGGCGCCCCATGGCATCTACTCTTGATTTCGGCTCAGGTTGTGATCTCACGGTTCATGAGATCGAGCCCTGCCTGCATCGGGCTCTGTGCTGACAAGCGCAGAGCCTGTTTGGGAATTTTTCTCTCTCCCTCTCCCGCTCTCAAAATAGGTAACATTTTAAAAATAAATAAATAAATAAATAAATAAAATAAAATCATGGCTAAAGTTAAAGAAAATAAAATTTTTTTTTCTCCAAAAGGCGATTTTTGATGGTCCTCAGGGATTAACACTTAGTCTAAGCTTGTTGTTTGGACGATATTAGACTCCCAAATCAGAATTGAGGGGGAAGGTTTACAGGAGCTACTCAGAGAGGTGAAGGACTTAAGCACAGGGTGGAGCTCAAGTACCCAGTCTCCCCCAGATGGTGGGCACGTTTGCACTTGCACAGTAACAGCAGCTGGGGAGGGGGAAGGGAAGAGAAGCCCCATGCTTCCCGTTACCAGGGCTTTGGAGCTGTGGACTGAGAGGAAATGCAGCCTGATGACCTCAAACAGCATTTCCACTTTGCCGCACGGAACACCGTGTCTTCCTACTTTAAAAAAGGAAATCACTTGAACGGCCGCTAAAGCAGGCCCCAAGTTTGTAGAAACTAGGCAAACTAAAGGAGAAAGATTTGTTCTTCACCCTTCTTTATCTTTGATCCCTGGGAAGAAAACAACGGGATGATCGGGAGTGGAAATGTGCAGTTTGTGAAAGGGGGAGATAAGGACCTTCGAAAGGAACAAAAGTTATGTGACTAACACTGGTGTTATTTACAAGAGTGGAAATTTGGGAAAACTCTAACAATTTAAACATCCAACAATAGGGGAATGGTTAACTAAATGATGGTATAGCCATATGAGAAAATACTATAAAGATATTAACAATTGTGTTTTGCAACGATTTAATAACCTTGGAAGATGATCATAATACAATGTTAAGTGAAAAATACTTGCTACAGAACAAATTACAGGTTTTCCTCAAGGTGATTTACATAAATATAGTTGACTGGATATAGTGGGATATGGTGATTATCTACAAATGCTGATTTATGGCGTTTTCTTATTTACCTCTAATCTTACTGAATTTTGTAAAATTAATATTTTATATTCTGAAAAAGTAAATGTACTTTTAATGTTTATTGCTTGAACTGACGATACATTTACATGTTCAAACTTCGAAATGTATAAAAAAGCCTCCCTCCTACCTCTGTTCCTTCTCTAGGAGAAGCCAAATTATATTTCTTGACATTCTTCTGGAGATGCCGGAATGATTATACATATATATTCATTCTTTATTCCTCATTTTTTACACACATGGTAGGCTATACAGACTGTCCTATACCTTGCTTATTTTTTTAAGTTTGTCAGTACATCTCCGAAAGGCTCCTATATTACAAACACATTTCTTTTTCATGGCTGCAGGGTATTCTTTTTTTTTTTTAATTTTTTTTTTTAACGTTTATTTATTTTTGAGACAGAGAGAGAGCATGAACGGGGGAGGGGCAGAGAGAGAGGGAGACACAGAATCGGAAGCAGGCTCCAGGCTCTGAACCATCAGCCCAGAGCCCGATGCGGGGCTCGAACTCACGGACCATGAGATCGTGACCTGAGCTGAAGTCGGAGGCTTAACCGACTGAGCCACCCAGGCGCCCCAGGGTATTCTAATTCATGCATGTGCTATTATTTTTCCATAAAACATTCACCCAGTGTTTGAAGGGCAAATGCTACTTTTTCTACTTACAATATTGCAATTAATAGTTGCAGATATTCATCCTTTAACACATATCCAGCTACCTCTGAACCATCTGACTTCAGACATTGATATGACAGAGAAAAGTTTTCGTTGAAGTCACTGTAATATCACATGGAGTCCGGTCATACTCCTTAGGAAAGCACGAAACAGCAAACTGCTCTACCTGTGGGGATTTCTTCTGAGGGGATGGAGCTTGTGATGATCTCATCTTCTCTTTTAGTTGAACTAACAGTATTTGGACTTGTTTTGCGCCACACCAATGAATCATTATCTGAGGTAGAGGAGATATTGGAAAAACCACATTAGTAACAACAATTTGTGAAAGGGCACGATCAGAATCAAATAACTCGCTGACTTGCCCTGAGTCCTACCTTGTGTAATCTGGCAACCAAAGAGCTCCACGTTCAAGGCGATCCTCTGGTGCCATGTCTGGGGGACAACCCGCACGTATCTGGCCACGATGGGAGGGATAAAATTATTCCTCACTGGATCCCGAAAATTAGAGTTGCCCTGAAACACCTGTGGAAACAAAGAACTTTTACCTGAAGATGCTATCAGTTAGTTCCTAGGTGTTTCTCCACCCACTCATACCTGGATATATGACACCAAAGCCAGGATTCTATGTCTGTTGTAGTTTTGTAGACATACTTGAGAGTGAATTTACAAGGTTTTGCCAACCAAGGCTGAGTTACCTAAGGTGGTGCTGCAAATCTGCTTTCTGGAAACGCAGTGATAAGAATAACTAGAGACCTGCTCTCCTACTCAGTTCTTTCCTCCAAAGTTTCTCTCACCTTCTCTTTATTATTTGCAATTCCTTTATAGGTCCTCCACTTGGAGTTGCTGTTTTTGAACTTCATCACAAAACTCTTAACATAAAAGTTGAAATTCGACTGTGTGGATCCTGTGGTCATAATTCCTGGTAAGAAAATATTATTGACAGGTTAGTTTTTAAAATATATATAGCATGTATTATAATCTTAGGTTTCCTTTCCTTTTCTCACTTGAAATCTCAAATCATTTTACAAGCCAAATTTCCTTATTTGCATTTAGAAACCTGATCACACATGAGTGTTTCCACACTGACAATATACCACACAAAGGTTTCCTCATTGCAGTGTGGGTTTGTTTTTTTTTTTTATTTATTTCTGAGTGAGAGAGAGTATGAGTGGGGGAAGAGCAGAGAGAGAGAGGGAGAATCTCAAGCAGACTACGTGCTATTATCAGTGCAGAGCCCTATGTGGGGCTCGATCCCATGACCCTGGGATCATGACCTGAGCCAAAATCAAGAGTCAGACGCTTAACCGACTGAGCTACCCAGGCACCCCGCTGTGTGGGCTTTCTACTCCGTATATCCATACTTACAATCTGCATACAGGTTCTGCCCATAGAGACAATGAGAAGGTTTGGTAGTTACTTTTAGAAAAGACAGAGTACTTTGAGGAAGAGAGAGCGGCACCTATGTAACTCAAAAACATAATCTGAACAGCAAGTCATTTTGCATTTGTAAAACTGCACTGTGTCATCACCTGTTATTTTCTTTTTCTCTCCCAAATCGGTCTCCAGCCATTCTCGCTGTTTGCGGTTCTTGCTGCTGTCCCCCGAAGCCCATGATAGGTCTTGGTCCTGAAGCTGGGCTTGGCCAGGGGACCAATGGAGCTGTTCTCCCATCTCACTGACCCACTGCCAAGTAGTTCTGATTTGCGTATCAGGCTCCAAACTCAATGATCTGCTGCAACCTTAAAAAAAAAAAAAAAAGCCAGAAAAAGTCCTTTAGATATAAACATGAAATGAAAGCAAAAAAAAAAAAAAAAAAGTAGTACTTCACCTCGCCTAGAATTATTCAGTTGATTTATTACCATTCTGATATCAAATTGACTGTTTAATTACTAGTATTTTAATGACTCAGACTCTCATTTGATTCATTTGTACTGCAGTATCTTGAAATGATTGCTGTTTCTTTTTTTAATGGACTTCACTGAAGTCACTTCCCCTACAAATGACATCCTTGTTCCCACCACAGCTTTTCCTTTCTAAACTTCTAAATTCACCCTCATTTCAGCAAAGTGATATGTGTTGTAAAGGCAACATGGACATTAGCAAATAAAGGCCACACTCCTCTCCCTGGACAAAGAAGACAGATGCAGACTGTTCTCCTTGAAATACTTTCCTTTATGCTGAGAGAATATTTACGTAGACTATATTTCATGACAGAGGGACTAAAAAGCCTTTATTTTACATACTTCTGTTTAATCACTTTATTCAAAAAAACCCACAAATTAAACTGTAATATTCAAAAGGTTTTTCTGTTAAAATCTAACATGAAGGAATTAAAATAAGTGTCATTTCAAATTTTCATTCTTTTCTGGCAAAAGTTTGAGATAGCTTAGATTATAAAGAAAAATATTTTCTGCTTAATGATAATTGAACTATTTTGTATTTTTAATATTGGGTATTTTTAAGTCACAGCATACTTGGTGCTGCCTGACCTGTGGAAAAACAAAAAGAAAATCCTTTAAACTACATCATTGGAGGGGTATGGAAGAATAAACTAGCACTGAAGATTTTAAAATATCAAATTCTTTTTTTTTATTATTTATTTTTAGTTTTTGAGAGAGCGCATAAGTGAGCAAGGGGCAGAGAGAGAGAGAGAGAGAGAAAGAGAGAGAGAGAGAATCCCATAAGGGGCAGAGAGAGAGGGAGAGAGAGGGAGAGAGAGTGGGGAGCCCGAAGCAGGGCTCGAGCTCACCTGATGTGGGGCTCGAACTTACAAACTGAGAGATCATGACCTGAGACAGAGTTGGATGCCTAACTGACTAAGCCACCCAGGTGCCCCACAAATTCTCTTTTTTAATGTGTATTTATTTTTTTTGAAACAGAAAGAAAAAGAGAGAGACAGATTGAGAGCAGGGGAGGGGCAGAGACAGAGGGAGAGAGAAAGAATCCCAAGCAGGCTCCACACTGAGCGTGGAGCCTGATGCAGGGCTTGATCTCATGACCATGAGATCACGACCTGAGCGGAAATCAAGTCAGACACTTAGCCACCGACTGAGCCACCCCGGTGCCCCTAAAATATCAAATTCTTAAGGAAAATGTGATCCTTACCATCGGAGGTAAAGAGAAATCGCTTGTCTGACAGGGAACCACTGAAATAATAAACACAAACATGAGGAGGTGAGTTGCTTACCTGGATCTTAATGACTGACACAGCACCAAGCACAGGGTTCAGAGCCTCCCCTCGCCTCATGTGATCCTCACAACACCCCAGCAAGGCTGTTATTATCTTTGTCACTGGTGTTTTCTAGATCAAGAACTCAGGCCCACTGAAGGTGAGCAACTTTCCTAAAGTCACCCAGGTGACAAGTGGCCAGGACTCTGAGTCACTGCTGTTGGATCAAAATCTTGTGTGGATTCCATCATGCCACATTGTGTTGGGAAGGAAAGTGCACATACACCGTCTTAGGAGCAGCCTGAAATCCCAACTAACTGATACCCAGCCACGGAAGCAGAAGGAATGACTGCCCTGAATATTCCCTTTGCTTCAGTAGTCACCTTAAAGCATCCCAATCGTTGTCGATCATCAAGGACCACTGAGAGACATGAAGAAGACTGGCCACTTTTAGAAAAATGACCACGGCTTCTGCCCCAGCACTGCTGCTCTGGAGACAGCCTCAGCTCATTCTCTCTCCAGTCACACTCCTACCTACTGTAGCAACTAAGGCCAAGCCGTGAACCAGCTCCTGCGTCCGGATGACAAGGTACAGCTGGAGAAAACTCATAGCATCTCACTGAGCTGGCCCTGGCCTGGGCGTCACCGCTGATCTGGCATTCATCCCTGGGCCTGTGGACTCTAGCACTTTCACAGCTTGTATTATTCACACAGGCAAACTTATCACATCAACCTCGCTCCGCACTTCTCTCCTTCAGTGGAGAAGGGATTCCGAAGGCCCGCGACCATATTTACCCTCTATAAATCCCTTACCAACCTGGCAGTGTAAAAATACATAGAATAAATAGAAAATCTAGAGTTCTCAAGATTAATCTTATGTGCATAGTATTATATTAGATACTAGAGATAAACATACAGAGATGTCATTTTTGTGTTCAATTATTTTACAATCTGAGAGTACTGCTTATAATTTTAAATGTTTAAGTCTGTATTATATGTGGCAACAATGGACAGAGAGACTACTGAACTGTGAAATCCACAGAAAACCCAGACTGGACACGAGTATAAGAATCTTTCCATCAAAGCTTGGTTGCTGTTGTTGATTAGAAGTAGCAGGTAGTCAAATTCCCTGGAATGGACTTTTTCTTTCACATTCTTTGTCCACTCTCAAGCAGACTTCACAGCCCTGCTATTCCACATAAAGGTTCTGCGATATCCTGAATATAATGGAGGCACCGATCATTTCTGACATGAAAATGCAGACCCACTGGGGTCGCAGGACTTGCCTGAATTCAGTGGGTGGCCAAGCCTGGGTGAAAATCCAGCTCTTCTAACTTTGAAAAAAAAAAAAGATGCACGTTGTTGCAATTCACAATTTAAAGTTTTATTAATGTATTTAGAGCCCCTATTTGATTTTTTCCTTTTTTTTTTTTATAATGTTCCTGCACTAAGTATTACACTTGAAATTTTACCCAAAGAAGTGCACAAAATGCTGCGGCAACCCAGAGGACCTAAACTCACTCCCACTGTCATGAGACACTAAAATATTTATTTCGCCGTTGCCGAGAAAGAGAAGTTATGGAAAGAAGGATAACTGGAGTTAACCCCAGGAAGATGCCGCCAGGGGAGGCGCTGCTCCTAACGGCCCTCTGCCTGGCTTTTCTCCATTACCAGCTGGAATATGCTTTTCCATTTCACTCTAGTAAACTAACTAAACACAATCACTTAGAGAATTCTATTGGTAAATGAGCCTCCTCTTTTAAAAATGAAAACACCCCAGGAGGCTGGAGTTCTGAGGCAGTCACACATCAGGGTGCACGAATTCCATCAGATTACAAGTACTGCCAGCCTTCCCAGAGAAGTAGAGAAGCAATTGAGAACAGTCTGATGCAAACTGAAAGAAAAGCCTTCCCGGCTGATGGTCTGAGCCTTCGCCCTCTGTATGAGGTCAGCTTTTCTTCCTGATTCCATTCTGGTCTCCTCAAATCAAGGAAGTGACCTGACCCGGATGAATCCCAGAAGAACCTTAGATATTTACTTTAGGGACTCCTTCCTCAGCTGTACTGCTTCCTTCTGTGTTTTTTCCTGAACACCAAACAATCATGTGTGGGAACAGAAGTTCAATGACCACACGTACAGTGGTTCCCCAACAGCAAAACAGCGCAGATGAAAACAACTGCTCCCTGAAGATTTGGGAATCGAAATGAGTGGAGGAGATGTATTCGCATGTGGTGGACTCTTCTCTGCTCAGTACCAAAAGTCAAAGCAAAATCAGAGCTAGAAAGAAGGGACCTTGATATAATTCTGGACTTTCTATCTATTCGCACCAAAACAAAAATCGGACAATGTGTTCCAATAACTACCTGGAATGCGGAACGAAACTCTTCCTAAGCCATTAATGGTTTCGATTTCCGTACTCTTATCTTTGCATCAACGTTTAATTTCAGATGACCATAAAGCGACTTCATCTGTATTCAGCCCAGAAGTAACTCAGAACATGTCTCCTTTTGTGCAACAGTTTAAATAATTTTTTTTCAACAGTAAAATAAAACCCTGGTAGTACAAGTTAAACTTTTTGCAGTCCTATTCTTCTACAAAGGAAGCACTGCAATGTATACAAACATAGGCAAGAGAATCCAAAAAGTAGATTTAACACCAGAGGTTAATTCTTCACTCCGATTTGGAGATGTAGCACCCAACAAATCTGGGCCACAGCCTGATACCTTCCTGAAGTAGCATCAAGCCATAAAAAATGTCAACAGAAACAGATCCTCAAGGGTCAAGATCATGCTGGTTTTTGATCACTGTGCTTACTGTGTGCCTTGGAGAGATTGGTGCTCTGGTACTGCCAGCTTGGTGTACCCAATTGCAGTACCTGTCAGATTGCTCCTTGAGAACACGAGATTGACCCACCTGAACCTGAGGAGGAATAACCTGGGAGATGAGGGAGTGAAGTTTCTGTGTAAGGCCCTGGGTTGTCCAGACTGCAGCCTCCAGAACCTGGATTTGCCAGATTGTTCTTTCACAGTAGAGGGCTGTCAGGAGCTTGCTAATGCCCTCAAGCACAATCATAACGTGAAATATTGGATATCGGGGGCAATGATGTTCAGGAGGATGGAGTGAAACACCTGTGTGAGGTCCTAAAGCATCCAAATATACACACACGTATATATATTTATTTAAGGATTTTAGTTTCTAAAGGCACTCTGTTACTAAGCTTTTAGATCTTAAACTGTGGCACAAATTTGGGTGTAATTTGCCTTTGGATGTTCAAACAATATAAAAAGAACACTTCGGGGCCTGTCAAAGTTACAAGTCCTATCCAGAGGGAAAGTAGAGGGAAGTCTTATCCATAGCAAGCAGAGAGCACAAACACCGCGGTGAGCCTGCACATCAGGGTGTGAGGATGACTGCCTTTTACAGATTGCATACAGGGTCACTTGCATTGCCTGTGAAAGACTTGGACCGAACACCCTTTCTGGTTACCCCCACCTGCATCCCCGACTCGGAATTACCAGTGGGGGCTCTGCCTTTTCTCCTCAGCCACCCACCAGCCAGGGCCCTGGACATGAGCATGGTGAGCTGACCACCACAACTCCTCTGGTGTCCCTCCCTGGGCCTTGGCTCTGCTCCCAGGTCCCCAGATGCTTTGTTCCTGCCTTCCACCAAACCCAAGGTTTGCTTCCTTCATGAAGGTGACCTAACCAACTTCAGTCACTGCTTCTAAATCCCCTCCCTTGTGAGCTTAGGCCAACGCTTCAATCCAGAAGTGAGTTTTAGTCTAAGTTTACTTGTGAGTTCATCGATTGGTTCTTTGGAACTTAAGATACTTTTTCCTATAAAAATAATACTATAACTTGTGGTCAGAATCCCTATGTGAAGCACAAGATTGCTAAACTAAGCTAGAATACATGTAAATAAAAAGTAGGAGGGGAAGGGAAAAAATTATTGCATAACTTTTTCAACATGACATCAGAGGTACTATGTTTATGCTAACTAGGGAAACTACCCCCTTATGTTTTTTTTTTTAATTTTTTTTTTTCAACGTTTATTTATTTTTGGGATAGAGAGAGACAGAGCATGAACGGGGGAGGGGCAGAGAGAGAGGGAGACACAGAATCGGAAACAGGCTCCAGGCTCTGAGCCATCAGCCCAGAGCCTGACGCGGGGCTCGAACTCACGGACCGTGAGATCGTGACCTGGCTGAAGTCGGACGCTCAACCGACTGCGCCACCCAGGCGCCCCACCCCCTTATGTTTTTAACCAGATGAAATGGTCTACATCCACTGGGAGAACAGAACAGGGAAGTATGATGATCATGTTCTTTCTTCACACAAGCAGGAACCACACCAAAATGGCGGGACAGGGCCGGGGGGGATCCGCATACACACTAGGGAGGGGTAGACAATACAGGCCCTAACCTACTTTTCCCTACTTTTGGATCCTGAAATGTCTGCTGTCTCTGTCCTGTGCCATATCCTTGAGCCCAAGACTATGTGACAACCTGTCCCAAAAACACAGGGTCATGGTAGCAGGAAGACATTTCTGAGGAAGACAGGGAGGGAGGAAGCAAGAGATAAACACGTGGCTTGAGGATCACTTTCTCTCATAAGGCATCCACCCGAGGAAAGCCTCCCTCTGGCCCACTCCAAGCTGCCTGTTTCAATGCGTGGACACCTGGACCACAAGGGGGGCTTATATTTAGCTCTTGTTTTCCACTCCAGAAGCTGAAGAAACCCAAACGCATTAAAAGCCCAGGTTGAATGTTTAAACAATTGAACAACTGACATACTTTTTTCTCATAAAGCTAAAAGCAGAGGATAACAGCAAACAGAGAGGTTAATGCTAATTAACAATCTTCCTTCACTTCCCAACTATTACTCATCACTAAGAGCTTCTCTCCAAGATCTTTCAGGGGAGCTTGGTGGTTCTATGGGGGCTTATTTCAGCTCTCTGTCTCCTTCAGTACCTTTGGTAACATTGGAGATAACAGGTAATTTACAACTGGAAAAACTGAAAAGGAACAGGCTTTGTTCTCTCCTACTAAAGCACCTGAGAGTAGAAACACTCCTCTGCCCTAGAACTTCAGATGTGTGCCATTTTAATTTTAATTTACTTGTCAGCATAACCAGTGAGCTCTTATATTGCTGCATTTATCTTCTACAAACACACCATAAATGCTGCTTTAAGCATTCACACACATTCTTCCCAGCTGACAAACCCTTGGTATCATACACCCACTGTCCTTTCAAAACTGTGAGCTGATAAATTATGCTTTTGGGGTTACCTTCCACTCAAAACAGAAAACAAAGTACTTACTCTTTTGAAAGCACACCATTGGCAAGGATTCCTTCATATCGACTTATCCCTTTGAGCTGAAGCACGCTGATCTGACCTCCCAACTCATCTGCAATTATTCCAGCATGGATGGCGGCTTTGCACAATACAGAGGTCTGAAATACAGCAACATCATCACTCACAGCTACTCAAGAACACATTAAAAACATGGTGGGAGTTTTCCAATTTGTTATAACACGTGGTCAGGATCCCTAGTTGACCCATGATATTGCTACACTGTACCTTATTAAACAAAAAGAGGGGAAAATTATTGCATTACTATGACACGTGTGACATGTGTAGCAGTTGACTGGGCCATGTTCTCTGCAGCAGATCTCAAAATGACATCAGAGTCACCAATTTTATGCTAACTTGGGAACCCATCCACTAGAGAGGAAGTAGGTAATTTAGTAGTGGTGACCCCCCAGTGAATAACAAACGCCTCCCCATGGTCATGCCCTTGTGTAGGCACCTCCTACTGACTGCACTGGGCCAGGTAGCTTGTTTGTTCTGCTGCAGAGAACACAGCACAACCAACTGCCACACATGTCACCGTGGCCACCTTCGACACTCTGCCCCCAGATGATCCCCCCACATGATTACAGGGGCTATTCTAGGCAAAGGGAGATTAAGAACTGACTAGCCCAAATGCTGACCCTCAAACTCATCAGCAAATAAAACGGTTGTTATTTTAAGCCACTCAATTTGGGGGTGACTTTTCAAACAGAAATAGAAATAACTAATCAGTTTTTTACATCTGCTTTAGCAGATACACATACTAAGGATCCTTTGAGAAGGTGAATCTTCCATACCATAGCTTCATTTTACAATTGATTTAGAGACTGAACAAGGCATTAAAAACAGAACAGAATATGAAATGGAACAAAAGACTTCATAAAGGTCTTAGGGCAATGACGATGAGCAACCCAGGGCCCACAGCCTCCACCTCATTTCCTGAGTCTCCTCTGGGAGGGTCAGACAGCTGGCACCTGCCCAGGCCTCCAAGTCTGCTGCCTGGAGTGACAGACTGAGCAGGACCACCTGACTGGCTGATTAGCAGGTGGCCTTGGGATTGGCACTGGCACATTAGATGTGGGGCTGGAGGAAGGACTGAAACTTTTCCATGGGGTGCCCAGGCCCTTAGGTCCCCATGGGCACAGACCTGCCTGGGAGGGTGGTTAGGCAGTGAGCCCAGGACTGAGGGGCTGAGAAACATCATTTTCCAAATCATCTTTAGCAATGCCCCACTTCTCCATGATGGCTAATGCCAACATGGGAAGAGCAGCTCATGAAATTATGTCTTGATAACCGGACTTGGGAATTTCTCTTTGTGTTGACAACATTGTTACTTTATTGTCAGTGGAAAAAATTTCTTGGATTTTGGTTACAATATCTGGGGGACCAAGGAGACCAACAATATTTTATAATAATTGTGGTTGCAATAAAATTGAGAACTTCTGTGATCTTTAATTTAGAGAGTGCATATTTCCCAAACTAGGTTAGATTTGGGACAATGAGTCAGTCTTGCAATAATGGCTCTCAGAAACAAAAGAGAAGGACAGTTCCTGACAGAGAAGAAATAAGAGAATGTTGAAAGACAGATGTGGTTATTACCCTCCTTGATTTTGGAGAAAAACAGAAATACTAGAAGATGAGAAAAAGACAGTGTGTTATTTTATTTTGTTTTTATTAAGTTTATTTGAGAGAAAGAGAGAGAAAGGGGGGGGGAGGGGGAGGGGAGAGAGTGCAGGAGGGGCAGAGATGGAGAGAGAATCCTAAGCAGGCTCCACACTGTCAGCACAGAGCCTGATGCGGGGCTCAAATTCAGGAACTGTGAGATCATGACCTGAGTCAAAATCAAGAGTCAGACGCTCAACTGACTGAGCCACCCAGGAGCCCCTATTTTATTTATTAATTTTTAGAGAGAGGGAGTGAGTGCGAGCTGGGGACAGGCAGAAGGACAGAGAGAATCTGAAGCAGGCTCCACTCTTAGCACAGAGCCCAATGAAGGGCTTGATCCTACCACCCTGGGATCATGACCTGAGCCCAAATCAAGAGTCAGATGTTCAACGAGCTGAGTCAACAAGGTGCCGCCAAAATAGTGATCTTTAAATTAAATAGGCAGCTTGTGTTTTTATTTTTTCTGAATGTTCCTTCTTTAAAAAGGTTTGTTATCATTGTTGTAGATTCTTGGAGTACAAAATGGAGCAAGCCAGTTATAACAGAAAAGCCTTGAATTTAAATTTGGCAATTTAGCTCATCGTCTTGGCTTTGTGTCTAACTCTACTAGGTGTGCATAAGTCATGTCACTGCTGTGGATCCAGCTCCCCAATTCCTGTGTACAATGAAAAACCTGGACTGCATGATGTCTAGTATCTTTTCTAATGGTCTATTACCTTGTGATTCTAATAGGCACCCTATGTACCTACTATGACGTCCCTGCCGGCCTGCCTAGGTCTCTCAGCCCCAAGATGAAAAACAATTGGTTCAGTGGTCTACTGGGTAGATAATCCCACTGTCCCTGAGATCATTTGGAGTTTGTTCCTTGGAATTTGTTCTGTGGATGGGGTAGTCTTTATCCCCAGAGCCCTGCCTAGTGGAGAGCTCTCACTGGACTTGGCATGTCCCAAGGACTCCTTGGTTACAAGAGAACAGGTTCACAGGTCAATTAGCAATAGAACCTACCAGCATCATTGGCCAACATACATTCCCATTTTCCACAGTAATCAGCGTTGAGGGACCCCAGCAGTATATACCCATTTTATGGAATTTATTCAACTACAGCTCACATTTTTCCATGATATTCAATGCAGGCCACAGGATACAACTCCAGGAGAATAACCACCAAATCTGGCTGTTACATTTTTATAAAATTATCACAGGATCATTTTCTTTAAGAAAAACAAAATTCCTCGCTCACTCAATCAACTTAAATAAATGTTTACTTAAATTGGGGCTTTTGGGTGTTGATTTTAAATTTTTACTTTCACTGAACTTGATTTTTATAAATTTCCTTTGGAAGAGGAAATTTATACTTTGATTTTCTAGCAATTTTCAAGGTCTAAGCCTCACTGAAATGTAAATATAGGAAAGTCACATCACTAGCCTATGTTAAATGGTGAACTGGCTTCAACTCAAACAGAATAATTTAAACCTAATTTTTCATTTACATTTTCTCAGACATCTGAGAACACCTACATGGCTCACAAAATTGCAGGTGATGGTATTAAACATTTCTAAAGTTCATTAAACCGTAAAACATGGCTAAACAGATCAGCATGAAGACTACATCAACCTTTTTTAAAAATGTTTATTTATTTTGAGAGAGAGAGAGAGAGAGAGAGAGCGAGCTTGTGAGTGTACAGTCTCAAGACAATGTCAAGACTACATCAACTTTCAAAGTGATTATCAAATCATGCCAGAATTGGAGTATTTTCTTATGTCTTCCTTTAGGAAAAGTCATCTTGTACTGGAAAGTATTGACAAAGTATTAAAATAAAATTTAATATAAAAGTAAACACTTCAGGGGTGCTTGGTGGCTCAGTCAGTTATGCGTCCAACTCTTGATTTTGACTCAGGACATGATCTCATGGTTTATGAGTTTGAGCCCTGCCTTGGGGCTTGGGATTCTCTTTCTCTCTCTCTGTCTCTCCCTTCCTCTCTCTCTCCCTTTCTTCCTCCCTCCCTCTCTCCCTCTCTCTCTCCCCCCACTCTTTCTCTCTCTTTGTCCCTCCCCTGCTCATGCTCTTTCTCTCTCTCAAAATAAAGAAACCTTTAAAAAAAAGTAAACGCTTCATATTGAATTTAATAAAACATGAATAAAGCTCATGTTTTAAAATGATAGTAAAATGTTAAATATATATGTTCCACGGTCTATCCTATGAATTGTTCCTACGCTGGTACAGTCTTCGTAATTACCATATTGGCAACATCTTCTTATTTTTTTTTTTAATGTTTATTTATTTTTGAGAGAGACAGAACACGAGCAGGGGAGGCGCAGAGAGAGAGAGGGGAAGACACAGAATTCGAAGCAGGCTCCAGACTGTCAGCTGTCAGCACAGAGCCGAATGTGGGGCTTGAACACATGAAACACGAGATCATGACCTGAGTCAAAGTAAGACGCTTAACCAACTGAGCCACCCATGCACCCCGGCAACATTTTCTTTGCAAAAGTTATTTGAATTCATTTTAGAAATGTTGGAAAATATGAAAAAAATCACTCACACTGCTTGCTATCACCTGGAAACAATCACACGTTTTTATAATGTATTTCCCTGTGTAATGGCTTTTTGTGGGTGTGTACAAAGGCCTGGTTTCTCCCCTTCTCCTCCTAAACCAGGGGTGCACTACATATACTGTCTTCCATTATTCTACAGTCTTTCTTGAATATTCTGGGGGTATGGAGAATTTACTGAAACAAGTTATTAAGTGATGTCTTAAAAGCAGATGGTACAGTCAGCAGACTTGGGAGAAGGTGCCAAGAGAGAAACTATTCTAGGGCTTTTTTATTTCTGGTTTCTGGGTAAGGCAGATCTCAAAGAGAAGCTCATCCTACTTAGCTAGCGTGGTAAGCATATACCAATAGAGATGCCTTAATTCATCAGTCAAGGAGACAGATTCACAGAACCTTAAGAATTCAAAAAGACCTTTAAAGTTCTCCGCTGATACTTCCTGACAGACTGTCACTTTCTCCGCCGCACAGCACCTTCCTACACATATATAGGCCATGTCTGACAAATGGTTTAACGCCTACACCTGACACTTCCTGGGACTAGGGCTCACCATTTCTTGAGATACCCGACTCCATTTTGCACTGCTCAATTATTCCTTACATGTAACTAAAACTGGGTACTCTGTAACTTTCACCCTCTGACCCTAGTTCTGCCTTCGGGAACAACATAGAATGAACCAGTTCTTTTTCTGTAATTGTTCTTTAAGACAACATACTTCTTTTCGGACGCAGAGAACCTGTTTCTTCAACAGTTTCTCTTGTAACTTGTTTTACAGATTCTGTTGTCCTGACCTACAAAATATGCTTCGGTTTTGCAAAGACCCTTCTAGGAAGAACTTGCTACAACTGAACACATTCCCTAAGATGAAGGCACCACGGAGGACAGACTCTATGACAACCTCCAGGATCTCTGCCTCCTGGCATTCCCCCACTGCATAATCCCTCTGGGTTTAGGTGGGAGCTGTGGCCTTCTTCTAATTAAGAGAACAATAGCAAAAGTGGTAGGATGCTGCTCCCATGATAATATTACACAAGGTTGTAACCTGTCTTACTAGGAGACTCCTTTGTGGGGAAATTCTCCCTGGGTTGCTTTGAAGAAGAAAGCAGTGATGTCAGATAGACCCGAATGGCAAGGAGCTGAGGAGAGCCTCCAGCCAAAATCCAGGAAGAAGAAACTGAGGTCTTCTGTTCAACAATCCATGTGTAACTGAATGCGGCCCACACCCTGTGAGCTTTGAAGCCAAGTTGAGCCTCAGATGAAATGCAGCCCCAGCTGACAGCTTGGATACACCCCTGTGAGATCCTGAAGCAGAGAACTCGGCTAAGCTGTGCCCAAACGCCTAACCCAGAGAACACGAGAGGTAACACATGTGTTGTTTTAATCTTTTAAATTGGTAGTAATATTGTTATGTAGCAATAGATATGGAATACACCCACGAGATCAACATATACCAAAAAGGCACTGATAAGATTTCTTTGAAGAGTTTTCAAAATATAAATTTTCCCTCCAGATGAAGTCATCCTAAAAGCAAATGATATGAAACTAGCTACAGAGTCAAATAGGCCACCTGTGTGCAAGCACCTACAGTTGGCGTACTCAGATCGATAGGAAACCATTTACCTGTTATACTAAAAAAACAGAACTCTGTCAAGAGGAGAAAGATAAACAACTAAAATAAGAAAGTAAGTGATGCTATCTCTCTTACTGCACATAATTCTGAAGTTTCTTCCATGGGATGTTAAAATCACAAATAGAAACTCTTTATTGCTGAGGGAAACACTCCACTTCGACTGTTTCTCTCAATCTCCTGAAGTCATTTAGAAATAGCCTGTGCCAAGTATATCTTAAATCGAGGTATTGTAAATCATTTTAAGATTCAAACAATTTATAGGCCAAATGAATATCCTATGCCAATCTTGTAAATAAAGACACTACACGGGGCGCCTGGGTGGCGCAGTCGGTTAAGCGTCCGACTTCAGCCAGGTCACGATCTCGCGGTCCGTGAGTTCGAGCCCCGCGTCGGGCTCTGGGCTGATGGCTCAGAGCCTGGAGCCTGTTTCCAGTTCTGTGTCTCCCTCTCTCTCTGCCCCTCCCCCGTTCATGCTCTGTCTCTCTCTGTCCCAAAAATAAATAAATGTTGAAAAAAAAAAAAATTAAAAAAAAAAAAAAAAAAAAAAAAAAAAAAAAGACACTACACAATGAAGGAAAACAAAGAGCACAACCTGCTGCTTCCAGAATCAGGATATACTAAAAGCAAAAATTAAAGCCAAGTTTGTTTTTCCCCTGCTAGAGATAAAATTATCAATCACCTGGAACATGTATGGTTTTTTCCATGCTTGAAGACACATGTCAGTAACTCTCAGGAAAGTTCCAACACTACACAGATTTTCCCATTTCATAACTCAAGCCAATTCCCAGATGCTGTAAACTCAACTATTTTATTTTTTTAATATTTATTTATTTTTGAGGGAAAGGGGGGTGGGAGAAGGACGGGCAGAGAGAGAGAGAGAGAGAGAGAGAGTGAGAGAGAAAGAGAATCCCAAGCAGGCTCTGTGCTGTCAGCATTTCTATTCTGTGCTGACAGCACAGAGCCAGGTGCGGGGCTCGATCTCACAAACTGTGAGATCATGACCTGAGCCGAAACCAAGAGTTGGATGCTTAACCGACTGAACCACCCAGGTGCTCCTGAATAAAACTATTTTAAATAGCAATGTTAATATTCAAAAATCAGATATCAAATTTCCAGGATAGAGATCTGCAAATAATAAGAAATAAAGGACTGTGTATATGGAGACAGGACATATACTTTTGGGAAAATGTCTTGTGAATTTATTTTTCTCTGGGAACAATGTGTGTAACCAGAGAGTCTCATTCTGCATAAGAAACTGGGGTGTGAGGAAGGAAGGAATACTATGTAAGTGCAGGGCAGATGGCTTCACTGCTCCCAGACACAATGTTGTTATCCTGTGATGTGAATGTTCATGTCCTTGGCTATGCTCTATGAATCAGCTGGAGCATTAAAATAAAGAAAATAGATGGAATTATACTCTTAGGGTTGAAAAGGGCTTTGTTTACCATTTCATTTACAGCATGCTTAAGTGGAAATGCATGGAAAAACAGGAATGAATGCATGAATAACCTTGGTTTTTATACTTATTATTTCATTTATTTTCAGAAAATAGAAACTTGCACATTTATCTATGGGGTTTGAGATCTTATTTGACTTTACTTCGGGATGCATTTAGGCAGAGCAATAAGTACTTTTTAATTTCCACCATGCCCTATAATTACTCTCAGGTACTTACATCTCTGTATCCATCCACCAGATTCCCAGAAATGTCTCCTGCTATGTCTCTACAACCAGCCGGGCAGAATTTACTGGAAAAATAAAATAAAGAATTTGTATTTTATTGAATTATAATTAAACTAAAAAGTATAAATTACACTTAAACATATTTCTTCTCTTAGAGCTAGGTATTTGGCGTGGCGTGTTGATAGTTCGCGTCCGACTTCACCAGGTCTCCGCGATCTCTACGGTCCGTGAGTTGAGCCATGGGTGCATCTGGGCTGATGGCTCAGAGCCTGGAGCCTATTTCGATCTGTGTCTCCCTCTCTCTCTGCCCCCTCTGTTCGATTCATGTCTCTCTGTCCCAAAAATAAATAAACATTGAAAAAAAAAAAAAAAAAAAACATATTTCTTCTCTATAGAACATGCAAGAGGGAATTATGCTGTTTATTTGATACTGATAGCACATCTAAATTTGGACTAGCCACAGCCTAAGTGCTTAATATTCACACATGGCTAGTATTGGACAGTGACGGTCTACATTAGTTACAGATTACTTTTGCAATTGGAAATAATTCATTGTGGTATAATTAAGAAACTGTAAGGCATTTCAAGTGTATATCGTGATGATTTATGTTCCCCAACTAGTAAATTAGCATATCCATCACCTCGCATATTGTAATATCTAAATATATAAACATTTAAAATATATGTAATATGTGTATTTTTGGTGAGAACATTTAAGTTCTACTCTCAGCAAATTTTAATTATATAATATAGCGTTGTCAGCGTAGTCAGGTTACACATTAGATTCATCTTATGGCTGCATACATTAATCAAAAACATTAATATCTCTGTATCAAATACATGAATAGTCATATTAAGTCCAACACAAGGACGGAATAGACTCGTTAATTTAGTTCAGTTTTGCTGTCAAATGAATTTAAGGTCACACTAATCAGGTACTGCCACCAAATGAGTTACAAAAACCTTTTGACTTTCAAAGCTTTCTACATTTCACGATTATAGGTGAGGGAGTGTGGACGTGTATATCACCGTACCTCATCTTTAAATACTACAAAACAACTGAGTTACAGCCTAGATGATCTGGCACCATAACATCACTCTGTAGGCCTGAATGTATTCTTTTCTGTAGGACAGGAAATGAACATTGATGCCTACAGGCCCTCTCACCACTGGGACTCTATAGGTACAGCTGGAAAGATCTCAGAGAATGTTGGCATGTGTTTATATTGAATGAATGGCAACCTTACAGGGCAGCTGTAATTAATTACTGGTTTTTTTCAATTTTGTTTTCTAATTATTTAAATTATTGACCATTTTCATTTTTGTTTCTCTACTAGACTTAATAATAGATAACACTAGAACTGATTCTGCATATAAAATAATTTTATTTATTAGAATGTCTAAGATGGTCAGGACCATAGACCCTTGGGCCTCCCTGGGCAAGCTACTTCACTAGTTTGTGCCTCTATTTGCAGGATCTAACAGAACCTACCTCGCAGGGATGCTGGAACATTCACATGAGTTATATACGCAAAGGCCAGGGAGCTATGACTGGCATTAACAAAGCACTCAAAGGAGTTATAGTTGGAGTTAGTGTTGTTGACAATCCTCTCTAGAACACTGGTTCTCAACAGGGAGTGAATTTTGCCCACCCTGGAAGACATCTGGCAATGTCTAGAAACATTTTTGTTATCACAACTGGAACGGACAGGGTAGAGGCCAGGGATACGGGTAAATACCCAACAATGCACAGAACAGCTCTCCAAACAAAGAATCGTCTAACCCAAAACACCATAGTGCCAAGGCTGAGAAATCCTGCTCTAGACTCTTATTATATAGATGAGGAAAGGTACATCAAAGAGATTGAGTAATTTTCTAGTTAAAGTAAAGCTGGGATCAAATATTCCATCTCCTATTCTCAGTAGGTTTCTCCTCTGTGGGAAAGACAAGATCAGCTCCCTCTGAAAGTGAAGAAATTCTAAAAGTCAATTGCAAATGCTGGCCGGGTTAAAAAAAATACTCTGGGCTCCATTATGCTCATTGGTATCAAAGTAGAGCTCAGGAGTCAGCAAACTGTGGCTCATGGGCCAAATCTGCGCTGCTGCTTCTTTTTGTAAATAAAGTTTTATTTACACATTTGTTTACATATTGTCTATGACTGCTTTTGCATTACAGCAACAACAGAAACTATAAATGGATGCAAAAGAGACTGGACGACCTGCACAATTGAAAATATTTACTATCTGGCCCTGGACAAAAGGTCTGCTGACTCTGCTATATAAGAAATCATTTCAAGTATTCCTCATTAGTTAGAATATTAACACTGTATGGGTGCTTGGGTGCCTCAGTAGGTTGAGCATGGGACTCCTGACCTCAGCTCAGGTCATGATCTCACAATTTGTGAGACTGAGCCCCGTGCTGCGGTCTGCACTAACAGTGTGGAGTCTACTTGGTATTCTCTCTCTCCCCCTCTCTCTGCCCCTACTCTGCTCACTTGCATGTGCTCTCTCTCTCTCTCTCTCTCAAAATAAATAAATTTAAAAAAAAAAAGAACATAAATGCTGTAAAAAAATTAAATACAAATAAGGTACTTTATCTGGTTTAATGTGAAGGAAAACAAAATGTTCAGCAACATATGACTGCAGCACAGCTAGGACACTGTACTTACCTGTATTCTGGCTTCAAATAATGGTTAGCTCGTTCCAAACATGTTATTAAATCTGTCGTAAATAAAGGTAATTGCAATTAGAAGCCTGAATGGAAGTTAGGACACTCATGCTAAAAAAAAAAAATAATAAAGAACTTGAAAGAATTTTAAATAAAAGAATTTAATAATTTTAAATAAAAAAGAACTTTTAAAAAGTGTTTATCCACTATCTAGTTATTATCTGAATTTTTTCCATTTAAAAATAAATCAACACTGAGAACACTATCTTCAGGATTTAATCAGTCTCCTCCATTTCTCTTTTCTACCACAAACGATGGTTTTTCGGCAACTGACCAATGGATGATAACAGAAACTATTTCAAACAGAAAAACCAACATTGACTCATTACTATCTACCAAATGCCTACAAAGATCATGTGCATAACCTCTCTTGGCAGGAGGAAAACAATTTCAAAAGCCTGACTTAGTTCACAGAGAAGATTCGGGAACATTTTAATTTAGCAATTTAGCTAGTGGCATCTGAGTGACCATGGAACCGCATGTTTACTGAGAATACAACCTTTTCACTTTGATCAGTCAGGACCAAGGACTTAAAAAGAGGATGTTCTTTTCTTTTGGAGTATAGAACTGAATGGACACTCAGCAACAGAGATGTTAAGGTACTGTGGATTTTGATGCATTTAGTTCAACCTAGTATAGTTTCCACAATATTCCACACTTGCTGCAATAGTTCTTTCTTTCCTTAATATTTTCAATAGTTCTTAGGGAACAACATATGGTGAACACTAGCCATGCTGGGATTGGCCAGATTTGATTGGCTGAGAGGGAAATGAATGGTGCACCCCCTTCCCAGAGCATTTCTGGCCAGACGGGACTGAGCGCAGAAACTCTGGGCACGTCTGTGACCCTGGGCAGACGTGGAGTGCACTGCACAGTCATCACTCCGGGGCACGAGAGGACTGGACAGGAGGCCATGCTTTCCTCCCTTGTCAGTATTCATGCTCCCTTCTCTCCTGCTCAAGTATCAGCTCCGTGGTTAAGGCACACTGTGACAGTGACTCCACATGTGACTCACACTCACATGCCTCTTCTATGCTGGTGCACTGGTATATGTGAATGAGGGTGGGGCGGAGGGCAAAGGTGCCGCTGGTTAAATGGTTTGTCCCCTAAGCTAAGAAAGGTTGGTGGAGGGCTCCAGAGAATAGGCAGACCTTAGCAGCCAGACCTTAAAATAGACCCGAAAATGTACCATCCAAGGTTTCTAGGAAAACGAGATCAACCCTTTCTCATATAGGTCAGCTGATCAATCTAACAAGCTTGATACATGTATTCTGAGTTCAGACCTAACTGCTTACAAGGACATAACATTCTACTCTTCCTACACATACTCGGTACCTGAGGTCACAAGTCTATCCAGAGACGGTTATAAGTAGCAAGAGGAATTCATAGACAGACACACGTTTACAGATTTGTGTTGATTCTTTTGCTATACCTGGATGGTCGCTGCTGGCATAGGTCAGCAAAAATCCCCGCCCGGAAATGTGGGATCCACTCTCAAAGCGAATAGTGACTTCGTTTGTGTTCAGTAGGAGTTCTTTGGGAACAGGTATACTTCCACAATATGGTCCTAAAAACAAAGCACACTTTTGGCACATTCAAAATTTAGGCCAGCACAAAGAATGGGCATATTTCTTTCCTTAAAGGTGAAATTTAGCAGACAACACATATATAAGATGGTAATCTTTACCCAACTGAAGTTTTGCTTAATAGTGGAACTGCTGATTAGTGCCTGAATGTGGACTTGATTGTACTGACAAGCCAAGGGGGGAAGTGGCTAACTCCAGATAAGCAATAGGCTAGACCCAGTTAATTGTGAACAACCCAAGAGATAGGTTCTAGTTTTTGTAAAAGACGACTAACAAAGGTTAAACACATTAGGTAGTGAAGAAAATGTTCTCATAAAAGTGATATTCTAGGGACCTCCTAAATTTGCTCAAAGAAACTCACAAATTTTTTTCCAAGTAGGTTCCAGAACTAAAAGGAGGTTCCAGGACTAAAAGACTGCCAGTGCATGGTAACAATCTTGTTTTCATGCAATTTATACATTTATCTCTCTCTTACAGTACTTTCTGGTTAACCCATATAATTTATTTTGATTTGCAAAATGAAGTTTATAAAAAGGCAGAGGAATCTCTAAAGGCTTCTGAAATACCATAGTATAAGTTATGCAATTAGAATATAACACACTGTTTTCTAGATTGAATTGCTTGAAAAGCAATAGGAAGCTCAATGAACTCTCAAAGGACAAAATTAGATTTTGAACTAAATAAGAAAAACAGATCTTCCTAAGGCTACTCAAGTTCAAGTTTAGCTTGTAAACGGTCATCTTAAAAGTCATGTATGTTGGGGCACCCGAGTGGCAGAGTCAGTGAAACGACCGACTTCAGCTCAGGTCATGATCTCACAGTTCGTGGGTTCGAGCCCTGCATCGGGCTCTGTGCTGACAGCTCGGAGCCTGGAGCCCGGAGCCTGCTTCATATTCTGTGTCTCCCTCTCTCTCTGCCCCTCCCCCACTCATGCTCTGTCTCTCTCGGTCTCAAAACTAAATAAACATAAAAAAATTTTAAGTCACGTATGCAAGACATAATAATCCTAAGAAAATAGGGATTAGCAAAAGCCAATTTTGACAACAGGTATTCTTCATTAACCAAATAAAACAGGATGGGAAGAGTCGACAGCAACATCAGGTAATAGGCAAGAGACAGCAGTGCCAACATCAGGTAAGGAAGGAGGAGGAAGGAAAGAAAAAGGTCCAGGAGAGGATCACGAACCCAACTAGGCATTCCTCTCCTGCCATAAGGGACCAGATTTCTCCACTGTCCTTCCAGGTTTCAGCTTCAGAAGATGTAACAGAATAAAAGAGAAATGCTATGTGTTTACCTTTGTGCCTCGAATCTCTGTTATTCCCTATTATTGAATGAGAGTGAAATCCAAATAGAAAAAGATTACTTAGAGACAATCATCATATATAATTACTTACATGAGTTAATACTAGCAAACTGCTTAGAACAGTACCTCGCATGAGGGCTATAGAAGTACTTCATAGTTAGTAGTGAGTAGTTAAATAAATAAATCTATTAAAACAAATAAACAATGCTTGTTTTCCTTTTAGACTACGTCCCATGGAGTTAGAAAATTTTCTATCCATCACTTTTTCTATCCACCAGCTTGTACAATACCTGGCACGTGGTGGCCTTCCAAATATTGTTAGAATTGAAATGAAGCTAAATGTTTTTATTTTTTTTTAATGTTTATTTATTTTTGAGAGAAAGAGAGACAGAGCGTGAGCGTGGGAGGGGTAGAGAGAGAGGGAGACACAGAATCTGAAGCAGGCTCTGGGCTCTGAGCTGTCAGCACAGAGCCCGACGCGGGACTTGAACTCATGAGCTGTGAGATCATGACCTGAGCCAAAATCAGCCACCCAACCGACTGAGCCACCCAGGCGCCCCCTAAATGTTCTTTTATTTGCAACAGTTTTTAAAAGCCACACCTGATTATAAAGATGCATAAAAGATTTAATCCTGGCATTAAAAATATTTTTTAATGTTTATTTTTGAGAGAGAGAGAGAGAGAATGCACAACAGCGAGCGTGAGCAGGGGAGGGGCAGAGAGAGAGAGGGAGAAACAGAATCCCAAGCAGGCTCCAGGCTCTGAGCTGTCAGCACAGAGCCTGATACAGGGTTCGAACCCATGAACCATGAGATCATGACCTGAGCCAAAGTCTGGGGCTTAACTGAGTCACCCAGGCACCCCTAATCCTGGCATTTTAAAATATCATGAAAAGGTCAGGAAAAGAAATGTGGAAAAGCAAGGGAGGAAAGAAAATCATTCGTGTAATAAATATATAGATGTTTATGAACTTTAATAGTGCTCACACCATGGTAGATAAACAATTTACACTAAATCCATTTTTGTATAATAAAGTTGAAGGATGAACATTTTTTCAAACTTAAAGTGAGTCAGGTTACTGTACTTCACTTTTGCAACTCATTCTTAGTTCACATATACTTGAAATTCCTTTTTTGTGCAGATGAGTGAAGAGACTTGCTTTGCAAATCTAATAAAAATGAAATAACTAGTAACTCCTTGCTACTCATAAATGAGAATATTTTTCTAACCAAACTTATCTTTTCCAATACGAAATAAGAATGTATATCCTCCTCTCCAAATGGTGATAATGATATTGATCTCTCAAATTTCTATAGCATTCCAATAAGTCCTAATAAAAACAGTGAGGTAAGCAAGTCTAAATTGATCATCAACGAGAATTTGTTTGAATTCTTTTTAGTTGAAATATATTTGATATATAACACTGTAAATCTAAAGTATACTATATATTCATTTGATATATTTATGTACTTTAATGTGATTGTCACTGGAAAGATAATTAGCACTTCCATCATGTTACATAATTGGAATTATTAGTCTCTTAGAAAGTTTGGTGATTATACACTTGACCCTTGAACAATGTGGTGGTTAGGGGCACCAACCCCTGTGCAGCTGAAAATCTGTGTGTACCTTTTGAGTCTCCAAAAAGTTGACTACTAATAGCCTATTTTTTTTAATTTTCATACTAATAGCCTACTGTTGATCAGAAGCCTTACCAATAATATAAAGAGCCAATGAACACATATTTTATATGTATTACATACTATACTTTATAATAAAGCTAAAGAAAAGAAAGTATTAAGAAAATCATGAAAACACATTTACAGTACCGTCTTAAAAAAACAATTCATATGTAAGTGATCTGCATAATTCAAACCTGCATTGCTCGTCAACTTTAATTCAATACTGTTGCCTATATTCACTATACTGTGAATTAGATTAGGGTTTATTTACTACTTGTTACAAGCTTGTACCCTTAAATAACATCTGGCTTATCCACCCCACCCCATCCCCTGGTACCCATGCCATTTTACTCTGTTTTTATGAGCTTGGCTTTTTTAGATTCCATATATAAGCAATATCTTATAGTACTTGTCTTTCTCTGTCTGATTTATCCCACTTAGCATAATGTGCTCCTGGTCCATCCATGTAGTTGCAAATGGCAGGATGTCCTTTCTCTTGCCTCAACAACTGGATTTTTTTTTTTTTTCAGATTTTTATGGAACAGTTGAAAGTAACAGTTGCAACACTGCATATATTTTACAGAGAAGAGATAAGAGCGTATATCATCATGCTAAGTTGTCGGGCAATGTATATCATTTCCTACACCAAAAAACCACATAAATACAGTAAAACTCTAATTTGGTTGTATCCTCCCAAAGTCATGATAGGAATGTGAGTTGGGAGAGGTTCAAAGATAAAATGTAAACACATACATTCCTTTAATCACCTGTGCCCCCCAGGCTCCAGACCTTCTCCTCTTACGGATGGATTGCAAAAATGCAACTAAGCCCTACAGGGGATGGAATGGACCCTCCCTCTATCAACGCAGCATTAGAAGTTATTTTGATGGGTTCATCACAGCACAACCCTCACAACAGCAGAAGGCAGCTTCAGTCCCACGTGGAGGCTGGAAGTAGAATGCTGACGGTGGTACTGCCTATGGCAAAACATCCACATTATTTCCTGTCTGAAGGCCTGACAGGTAGATTCCCTTTCACAGAATGGAAGTTAACAACTGCATTCCTAGAGTTAAAAGGGGAAAGAGATGAAAACAGAAAAAATGTGACTGGCTGTGAGAGGGAAAAATAATGGGAAAGCACTGAAGGGTCCTACCAGTTTGTGCCAAGCAATGTTTTCAGTTCTCAGCCAAACTCTGTGGAGGATTATACCTTTTCTTATGAAAAAGCCTGTCTCCACCCTCAGCTGGCCAGACAATATATGTCACTGTTAGTAGTCTCCATCCCAACTTTTAAAAAGGGTCTACGCCTATACTTAGACATTCACAAAGACAATTCCAATGGAAACCCAAATGAAAGCGTGGTGACTCTGTCCATGGTTACGGTCTCTGTCCTGGGCAGTGTTCCTGGACTGGTAAACCTGTCTCAGTTCACAGACTGAACTAGTCTTTCTTGAGGGGGTCTTAAGAACATGGGCAGACCTCCACATAGGACTCACAGTTCTGCACGGGCGTTTGCTTCACAAGCGGCGGTGCTGTGTGCTTTGCAGCCCTTGGACTTGGTAGCTCCCACTCTCCCTCACTCTGACCTTGTCGGCGAAGCAGATTTCTTACTTCGCCATCCCCAGTTCCCGCCAGACTGGGGCGCAGCAGAGAAGCAGTTAGTTCATCAAGTAGGCAGACAAATCAGGAAAGATAAACACCTCTCCCTTTTGTGAAACCGAATTGGTAGCCCTGGATGGTGGGAAGGGCTATCAGTGACACCAAACAGAATAGCACCGTGGCATCTGGCACCAGACAGGAGACCAAGACCTGGCAGACAATGGGCTGATTCCTTGGACAAAAGGATAAAAGGCCAGGAACCGTAGGAGCTGCCTTCATTGAGCACAGTAGGCCAGTTCCTCTCAACACATCCCTTGTCTGGAGCTACTGTTCCATGAGCAGCTGAGAGGGAAACCCTTTATCTTTCCTCGTGTGAATAAAAGAAAACTGTCCTACAA